TGTAAGCTACGCTCGCAGGGGACCCATCGAAAGTTCTGCCATCACTTGGCTGCTGCTGCTGCTGCTGCTTCTATTTGCAATTCCCACCTCGGTAACTTGCGAATGCCCCGATCCCCAGGACCGATGCATCACAGAAGGATTCATCTGCTTTGCACGGGAAGATTGTTGTGCGCGCGAAGTCTACGTCCGAAGAAGAGACGAGGATGATCCCAGCAGTGGCACAGTGCGTCAGCAGCGCTCAATCGATATCCAGCTACGCGAGACAGTAATTTTTCAAAGGCGGCCGGTGAAAGAGCGGATCCGGAGTGCTCCAGGTTTTCCTGGGGTTGCGATCGATTGCTCGTGAGATTTTTTGGACTCATTCCGGTGTTGGACTGCTGACGCGTGGGTGGGTGGTGTGTGTGTGTGTGTGTGGTCAGTGGCTCGGCTGATACGTCGAGGTCCGTTCTGTCTGCTTGGTCTCCTGTGCTGGTTTACGTGAATATCGAGCTTCATCAGCGACTGCTTTGGTGATTATTGGCAGGGAAAATGTGTATACTGGTTGGTGGCCGGGGCGAAGTTGTAATGGTATGGGGTGGAGGGCGCCGGGCTCGTTTTGACTGTTTTAAAATCATTTTTGAGGGCAGTCCTCAAAGGTGGATGAGGGGGAGCACACTTTGCGCTCAACCGTAACGAAGGGAGCGTTTATGCGAAGTTGTCTGTAATAAGGCAAACGTGTGCGTGCTGCATCAGCAGACGATCTCACTGTGAGCCAGCGTCCGCCAGAATGAGGTGCAGCCCTTCGCTGAGACAGCCGCTTCTCGCCTGCGCTTATGGTAATACAACCCACAGCCAGCTGATCCGGAATCTTCTTCCGCACCGTTTCAGCCGACTGTAGCACCCAGGTTGACTCTGGAAGCGTAAGTGGCGAAAGTGCGATGGATTACGGAAAAAAAGAGCAGTATCAGAAGGCCAAAGTGAGATAAGGCGTTTCTTACAAGTCGCGCAGTGTGGTATGGTATGTCCGTAGAAGGTTTGTCTGCACGCCTCTCCCTCCCCCCCTCATCCCTCGTCCCAGTCTCCTTCATCCGTCTGCCACCGCATTCGGACTGGCGTGTTTTTCCAGCCTTTCCACCAAATTTGCGGAGCAGGAAGTGCTGTGTATGTTAGCCACAAGCGCGTTCTTCCACGCAGCGCTGTGCGTATCGAAGACGTGGATAACCTTCCTCACCACTCCTGAAACATTCATCTTTCTAGCATGCCTAATGGGACGCACTATCCTTCAGCATTTGATTGCTTGCCACTGCGAGTGGTTAGACGCTTCACACTTTGGCTTCATGCTGTGCAACAGTGCACCGGCGGATCCCGTTCTGATAGCTTCTTTTCAATCTCTCACATTTCCCATCTGTTTGCCAGTTTCCCATTGCTTGTCTCGGGAAAATCATCGGCGACATACACCAGGCGGGCCTGTGCGATCATCCGTTTTTGCTGTATTTCGCGCTGTAGGAAGATCGCTTGGAACACCGGTAGCTGGAATTTGTGACATACTGGTCCTCGAATTCCTGGAAGTTAGCCGTGCATCTACCATCCCATCAATATTTCAGCTTTCCAGCTTTTCTGGTTCCTGAGTTAGCAGTTCTCCCGCCAAAAATTTTGATTGGCCCGTACATGAGAATCACGCACAACTGGGGACTGATTTTGAAATCGTTCAGTTGTACGTGGGCTGGGAACATTCCCCTAAAATTTCAGTCTCCCAACTTTTGTAATGTCGGAGTTAGCGATTTTCCCACCAAGACTTCCACTTGTTTGTAAGTGAGGCCCAGACGCACGTGAAAATTGGCACGCGGTCTTGAAGTGGCACTTGGCTGGGAGCCCACTGGCGGAATTTC